GTCAACAAGCTCAGCAACTAGGGCAGACGCAGCAGTGGACTCAAACGAAGGGTCAATGACAACAGTGGCTAGAAGACGTGTGACAGTAGGACTGGCAGCGCGAGTAAGGTCTGACGGCGGGCCAGGAACGTCAGGAAGAGAGGACGCAGGAGGAGACGGCAGAGGGACACGCAGTGGAACAGAGGAAGGACGAAGTGCCATCTGGTGCGTGCCTGGGACAAGAGGAGGACGCTGACGTGGAACACGACGACCAGTGCGAACAGCGCGAACAGGCGACGCAGGACGAGACTCAGGCTCACGACGCTCTGTAAGGGAGTCTGCCTGCTCAGTGTAAGGAGAAGGAGCAGGCAGTGGGGAGGCTGGTTGTAACTGCGGCTGCGACTGGTCAGGCGGTGGACACAGTAAGGGAGCAGTAAAGCCAGTAGAAGGCGGGAGACCAAGAACTTGCTGAAGCAGTGGAACGAAGTACGGTCGCGGCCGCACAGTGCCTCCAGAACTAGCACCGACAGCACCAGCACCCCCAGCTCCAGGGTCTCCAGCTCCAACGCCTGCAGTACCACCAGCTCCAGCAGCTCCAGTACCTCCAGTACGAGCACCTCTGGGACCAGCGGCTCCAGCACCTCCAGCAGCTCCAGCTCCAGCGTCTCCGACTCCAACGCCTGCAGTACCTCCATCAGCTCCAGCTCCAGTGCCTCTAGCTCCAACTCCTGCAGCACCTCCAGCTCCAGCAGCTCCAGTACCTCCAGCACGAGCACCTCCGGGACCAGCGGCTCCAGCACCTCCAGCAGCTCCAACTCCAGCGCCTCCAGCTCCAACTCCTGTAGCACCTCCAGCTCCAGCAGCTCCAGTACCTCCAGTACGAGCAACTCTGGGACCAGCGGCTCCAGTACCTTCAGCACCTCCAGGACCAGTAGCTCCAGCACCTCTGTCCCCAACGCCTGCAGCACCACCAGCTCCAGCAGCTCCAGTACCTCCACTACGAGCACCTCTGGGACCAGCGACTCCAGGGCCTCCAGTGGTAGGCCCCCCAGCTCTAGCAGCATCACTCCGAAGGCTCTAGCGCCGAGCAAACCACTCACGAAGCTGCGGTGGAGAGAGAGTCTCCCGCCATGACGAGGCACCAGGATAACCTCCAGCAGACAAAGTACCTCCAGGCGCAGCAAGCTCAGGCTCAGCACCCCCAAGCACAGCACCCCCAGGCTCCGCACGCTCAGGCTCAGCACCCCCAGGCTCCGCACCCGCAGACTCAGCAACCACAGGGTCAGCACCCCCAGGCTCCGCACGCTCAGGCTCAGCACCCCCTGGCTTTGCACGCTCAGGCTCAGCACCCCCAGACGCAGCACCCCTAGCAGCACCACCCCTAGCAGCACCAGAGTCGACAGCGACCTCGACAGGCTCGACAGGGTCTACCTGAGACACACCTGAGGGAGCAGGACCCTGAGGGGGGAGGGGGTCTACCGGAGGAGGACCTGGTGCGAGGAAGAGCGGCAGGGAGGGGAGAGGGGCAGTAGAAGTAGCAGCGGAAGCAGTGAGGTGGTGGGCCCACCCACAGGATCGACCCAAGGGGATCGACCTGCTCTGATAGCATGTTAGAATCTAGAATGGAACGAGAATGCATGAAACTAGGTAGGAGGGGGATACAAGTAGGAAACCCTAACAAAGCTGTACCCCCTAAGGCTAAACCCACTATAGCCTACACAATATAAACATATAATGTTTGACACGCGAAGCAAGCTGAAGTTGCTCTGGTAGGTGTATTTGAACATGGGCCATCCAAAAATGCAACTTCGTTCGCTCGTTGGATGCTTTTCCCTACGGCTATAGGGGTCCATGCGCTTCCTTACCATTTGTGGGAAGGCACGGCCGTCATCGCGGGCGCCGAACTTTTCTGTGCGCGCGAACCAAGCTGAAGTTGCTCTGGTAGGTGTATTTGAACATGGGCCACCCGAATATGCAACAGCATTCGGTCGTTGCACGCTTTTCTCTACGCCTACAGGGAACAATGCGCTTCCTTAGCGTTTGAGGGGAGGCACGGCCGTCATCGCGGGCGCCGAACTTTCCTGTGCGCGCGAACCAAGCCGAAGTTGCTCTGGTAGGTGTATTTGAACATGGGCCACCCGAATATGCAACAGCATTCGGGTCGTTGGACGCTTTTCTCTACGCCTTTAGGGATCCATGCGCGCGTTTGAGGGCAGGCACGGCCGTCATCGCGGGCGCCGAACTTTCCTGTGCGCGCGAACCAAGCCGAAGTTGCTCTGGTAGGTGTATTTGAACATGGGCCACCCGAATATGCAACAGCATTCGGGTCGTTGGACGCTTTTCTCTACGCCTATAGGGATCCATGCGCTTCCTTAGCGTTTGAGGGCAGGCACGGCCGTCATCGCGGGCGCCGAACTTTCCTGTGCGCGCGAACCAAGCCGAAGTTGCTCTGGTAGGTGTATTTGAACATGGGCCACCCGAATATGCAACAGCATTCGGGTCGTTGGACGCTTTTCTCTACGCCTATAGGGATCCATGCGCTTCCTTAGCGTTTGAGGGCAGGCACGGCCGTCATCGCGGGCGCCGAACTTTCCTGTGCGCGCGAACCAAGCCGAAGTTGCTCTGGTAGATGTATTTGAACATGGGCCACCCGAATATGCAACAGCATTCGGGTCGTTGGACGCTTTTCTCTACGCCTATAGGGATCCATGCGCTTCCTTAGCGTTTGAGGGCAGGCACGGCCGTCATCGCGGGCGCCGAACTTTCCTGTGCGCTCGAACCAAGCCGAAGTTACTCTGGTAGGTGTATTTGAACATGGGCCACCCGATCGTTGGACGATTTTCTCTACGCCCATAGGGATCCATGCGCTTCCTTAACGTTTGAGGGGAGGCACGGCATTGATCGCGGGCGCCGAACTTTCCTGTGCGCGCGCGAACCAAGCCGAAGTTGCTCTGGTAGGTATATTTGAACATGGCCCACCCGATCGTTGGACGCTTTTCTCTACGCCCATAGGGATCCATGCGCTTCCTTAGCGTTTGAGGGGAGGCACGGCCGTCATCGCGGGCGCCGAACTTTCCTGTGCGCGCGAACCAAGCTGAAGTTGCTCTGGTAGGTGTATTTGAACATGGGCCACCCGAATATGCAACAGCATTCGGTCGTTGGACGCTTTTCTCTACGCCTACAGGGATTCATGCGCTTCCTTAGCGTTTGAGGGGAGGCACGGCCGTCATCGCGGGCGCCGAACTTTCCTGTGCGCGCGAACCAAGCCGAAGTTGCTCTGGTAGGTGTATTTGAACATGGGCCACCCGAATATGCAACAGCATTCGGGTCGTTGGAGGCTTTTCTCTACGCCTACAGGGATCCATGCGCTTTCTTAGCGTTTGAGGAGAGGCACGGCCGTCATCGCGGGCGCCGAACTTTCCTGTGCGCGCGAACCAAGCCGAAGTTGCTCTGGTAGGTGTATTTGAACATGGGCCACCCGAATATGCAACATCATTCGGGTCGTTGGACGCTTTTCTCTACGCCTATAGGGATCCATGCGCTTCCTTAGCGTTTGAGGGGAGGCACGGCCGTCATCGTGGGCGCCGAACTTTCCTGTGCGCGCGAACCAAGCCGAAGTTGCTCTGGTAGGTGTATTTGAACATGGGCCACCCGAATATGCAACAGCATTCGGGTCGTTGGACGCTTTTCTCTACTCCTATAGGGATCCATGCGCTTCCTTAGCGTTTGAGGGGAGGCACGGCCGTCATCGCGGGCGCCGAACTTTCCTGTGCGCGCGAACCAAGCCGAAGTTGCTCTGGTAGGTGTATTTGAACATGGGCCACCCGATCGTTGGACGCTTTTCTCTACGCCTTTAGGGATCCATGCGCTTCCTTAGCATTTGTGGGAAGGCACGGCCGTCATCGCGGGCGCCGAACTTTTCTGTGCGCGCGAACCAAGCTGAAGTTGCTCTGGTAGGTGTATTTGAACATGGGACACCCGAATATGCAACAACGTTCGGGTCGTTCGATGCTTTTCCCTACGCGTAAAGGGGTCCATGCGCTTCCTTAGCATTTGTGGGCAGGCACGGCCGTCATCGCGGGCGTCGAACTTTTCTGTGCGCCCGAACCAAGCTGAAGTTGCTCTGGTTGGTGTATTTGAACATGGGCCACCCGAATATGCAACAACGTTCGGGTCGTTGAATGCTTTTCCCTAAGCCTATAGGAATCCATGCGCTTCCTTAGCATTTGTGGGCAGGCACGGCCGTCATCGCGGGCGCCGAACTTTTATGTGCGCGCGAACCAAGCTGAAGTTGCTCTGGTCGGTGTATTTGAACATGGGCCACCCGAATATGCAACAACGTTCGGGTCGTTGGATGCTTTTCCCTACGCGTATAGGGGTCCATGCGCTTCCTTGGCATTTGTGGGCAGGCACGGCCGTCATCGCGGCCGAATATGCAACAGCATAAGGGTCGTTGGACGCTTTTCTCTACGCCTATAGGGATCCATGCGCTTCCTTAGCGTTTGAGGGCAGGCACGGCCGTCATCGCGGGCGCCGAACTTTCCTGTGTGCGCGAACCAAGCCGAAGTTGCTCTGGTAGGTGTATTTGAACATGGGCCACCCGAATATGCAACAGCATTCGGGTCGTTGGACGCTTTTCTCTACGCCTATAGGGATCCATGCGCTTCCTTAGCGTTTGAGGGCAGGCATGGCCGTCATCGCGGGCGCCGAACTTTCTTGTGCGCGCGAACCAAGCCGAAGTTGCTCTGGTAGGTGTATTTGAACATGGGCCACCCGATCGTTGGACGATTTTCTCTACGCCTATAGGGATCCATGCGCTTCCTTAGCGTTTGAGGGGAGGCACGGCCGTCATTGCGGGCGCCGAACTTTCCTGTGCGCGCGAACCATACCGAAGTTGCTCTGGTAGGTGTATTTGAACATGGGCCACCCGAATATCCAACAGCATTCGGGTCGTTGGACGCTTTTCTCTACGCCTATAGGGATCCATGCACTTCCTTAGCGTTTGACGGCAGGCACGGCCGTCATCGCGGGCGCCGAACTTTCCTGTGCGCGCGAACCAAGCCGAAGTTGCTCTGGTATGTGTATTTGAACATGGGCCACCCGAATATGCAACAGCATTCGGTCGTTGGACGCTTTTCTCTACTGCCCTGCTCCTCTGCTGCCGCACTGTCTCCTCGCCCTGCTGCTGCCCTCGCTCCCACCCCTGCAGCACAGCCTCGTTCCACGTGCTCGCCCTCACGCACGCTCATGTGTGACGCGCCTGCCAGCCCTCCCTCCTCCACGCCGCTGCCCCGCACCACCTCCCCCACGCGCACTCCCCTTGCAGCCGTGCCCGCCCGCTTCTCCTCCACCGCTTCTTGCGGCGGAACGATGTTCACGCGTCCTCCACGAATTCTTCCCTCTCCCATCTCCCACTCCCGACTGTCCCCGCTTCCCCCGCTCTCCACCACCCTTGATCCCCCCGCTCCGCCTGTCCCCGCCGTCATTGCGGACAACTGCGCTGCTGCGACAGCAACACGGCTGCGCTCGCCGCCGAATCGCCAAGGGTAACGGCGGGTGCGCGCGCACGGAGAAAATTCGAAGCAATCGCTCCGGAGGCGGTCGGCAATAGCCCCTCTGGCACGCGGCCGCTGGGGTAAGTGCCTCGCATGCAGCGCGAGGAGGGGTTCGCACAAGCGGGCATCGCAAAAACAGCGAGGGTGGAGGGGTAGCATTACTAATGCTAAACCTAGTACGTTCAAGTGCTTCAAAGCTGCTCGGCGTGAAATGACTTTAGGGTTACACCAGACCTACTTTGCAGCTGCTTTCACCGTGGGCGCTTCGGGAAACAGCGGAATGACACCAGCGCGAATTGATGTTGAGCTTGCGTGGAGGAGTTATATTCGTTCTCGATTCATAGCTACGGGAAAGCTGCTTCAAGCGAAATGCTTTGGCTTCGTGCATTTCCTGTCTTTGGGTTCGCCCATTTCGTTCAATCAAAGGTTTCGGCTAGTACGGTATTGTCTTGCGTTCGAATCCTCGCTAAGGACTTAGTGGTTACGCTGCCTGTTGCTTGTTGTTGCAGGGTTCTATAGTTGTAAATTGCCGCGGATGGGGCGATGCAGGGTTGTGGCAGGCGTTGCTTGCGTCTGGAGTTGGCGCTGGTGCTGGCGGCTGCTGCTGGTGCTGGCGGCTGCTGCTGGTGCTGGCGGCTGCTGCTGGTGCTGGCGCTGGCGGTTGTCACTGGCGCTTGCGCTTGGTGTCGGCGCTGGTGTTGGTGCTAACGCTGGATGAGTCCCGGGGAACTGTCTTTCTGGCGGGTCCTATCCGGGAGATCACGCTACGATACGTTTTCTTTAGCAAATCAACCAATCGAATTTGAGGCATGAAAATACGGAGACTCAATACAAGATATAGGTAGTCAAGTCATTCCATAACACTTACTTACCTACGTCGACTGAACAAAGGCTACCGTAATCCACCTGCCACCTGCTAGTACGGTAAGCTAGTCGTCGTCTTCCGAGGGTCGGCCACCGGAGAAGAGGTAGGAGGCGGGCAGGTGCAGCACGCGGCCCGACATGATGGGCGGCATGGAGCGATCTATGGGCACAAACCCTCGCGAAGGGGGTGACGGGTCGCTGGCCTCTGGGGGCCCGGCGGGGATGTCGCAGTGGGGGCGGGCGAGGGTACCGCAGCAGAAGAGGTGCGCCATGAGGTGCGCCATGAAGAGCTGCATGCGCTGCGGCTGCTCCACGTCCTCCTCCGCTGACAGCATGGGCGGCACCGCCGCGTGCAGCACCGCCTTCTCCCCCTCCGCGTCCCGGCTGTCCCCCTCCGCGTCCCGGCTGTCGGCAGGCAGGCCAGACGCGTCCATCAGCAGCGGGGTCAGTGCCGCCGCCACGCTGCCGACGCTGGGGTGGGGTGGCTGGCTGCTTTGCTGGTGCTGCGGTCAGTGAGAGGTCCCACCTCCCACGCACACCCGGCAAGGAGAACCCGCTTCAGGCACTGATGGGGTCGTAGCGGCTTGCTAATCAACTCTCAATCCAATCGTCTAGGGTGGAACGGGCAGCAAGCAGCAGCTTCGTCACAGTCGCAAGGAGTTGGTGGCACTCCGTACAGCTCCCTGCACTCACACGCCTCTCTGCACTGCGCTGTGCAAGGCCGTGCCGTCACAACGCGGCGACCATCCCTGCTGCCACCATGTGCGGTGGTGCTGCCAGGCTGGAGGTAAGGGGGGTGACTGGAACAAGGGGCGGATGAAAGGGGATAGGTGGCACCAGAGCGAGTGAATAAGCATGGGGGAAGATACGAATGAGGAGAGTAGGCACTAGGAGAGTAGGAATGGGAAGACTAGGCATGGGGGAGAGGAGGCGTGGGGAGGGTAGGGAGGGAGAAGACATTGGAGGGTAAGCATGAACGTGCCGTGCCAGGATGGGTGGGTGTGATTCAGGAGCAATGGCCGCAGCGCGTTGGCCAAGACCAGTGTGGTGTCATGCTCACGTGGTGCGCCATGATGGCTCAGAGCATCTTCGGTCATCGCCCAAGACATGAGACGAACGACGCGCACGCACGCTAAGATCACGACATGCACCCAACACGCACGATACAACTACGAAATCAACCCCGATTTGTCCCATCGTTGCGACATGGTGAGCTGGAGGAACGGCGTTACCAGGTGAGAGGCGAGAATAGCGCGCGCCGAGCGAATCTATAGGACTTGGATCAGCCGCGCCGACAGTGGATTGCCCGCGACTGCCGCTGCCTCGCGCACGCAGCCGCCGATGAACGTCGAGCGCCAAACGAGAAGATAATATCGATGCTTCCCTCCTGTTGCGCCTCACGTGCTGCTTGTTTGCCGCGAGTCTAAAAATGAAAACGACATGTGACGACAGTAGCTGAGAGGAAATATAGCAGTGGTGGCTGATGGGAAGGGGGAGAAGAGACAGCGCCGACAATATGTGTTGGGTTCCCCTCAAGCCCTCAATTGCTCCGTACCTCCACCCAACCTGGCTGGTTTGGGTGGAAGGGAACCTCGTCGTCTAGACTCGGAAACTCTGCGGGACAGCAAAACAAGCCCTTGGAAGCACTGTAGCTCAGGTGGTAGTGGCGAAGGGCGATAGAAGGCGAGAAGTGTTGGCGAATTGTCATGGTCTTCTCCAGGTTCGCACACCGTAGTAGCCAATCAAAATGAGGGTATTGACGAAGGTCGAATGTTTACTTGTTGCCCTGATTTCGCGAACCTCGATATTGGTTTCTCGAATGTCCCATTTAAACCGAAGCAAAACATCAACCTCGCTAATCATTTTGAACCACAAGACCAACTTTTTGAACAACCTCGCCTTTGTCCGCCTTTCCCATTCCGCCACCCCACCCCACCCCACCCAGAGAGGTAGAGTCCTGAGATGAGGTCCCGTTGGTTGCTCAGTAATTATCTAAGCGACGACCAGGACTTTCCGCTTCGCAAACATACAAAGATAAATCTTCTGCGCATTGCGAACCGCTTTGACCGCTGCATCAATCGCGGCGGTGCACGCTAAGCGCATTGTAGCGCGCGACGCGGCAGCGCGCGAGCGGCATGTCGCGCATGGTGCAGTGCCCGCGATGCCGCGCCATCCTGCAGGAGCCGCCCATGGGGCACCCCTTCTACAAGTGCGGCAGCTGCCTCACCGTCCTGCAAGGTGCCCCCTCCGCTTGCCCTCCCGCCACGCCCCTCGCTTGCCCTCCCGCCCCGCCACCCGCTTGCCCTTCCGCCCCGCCCCCCGCTTGCCCTCCCGCCCCGGCTCTCTCCTCCCCCACTTCGTTCGCTCCCTGCATTCTCACCTTGCAAACCCGTTCCGTTTTCTTTCGTCCGACAACTCCCCTTGCTTTCCCCATCCTCCCCGCTCCCCCCTCTCTCCTTCCCCCCGCATTTCCGCCCTCGTGCTCCCGCCATCAGCGAAGCACGCGGTGGGCGTGGGGGGTCCGCGTCATCCGGTGGGCGTGGACGTGTCGCTGCCGCGCGCCTCCTCCTCCGCCAACCTCTCTACGCCTTCCGCTGCAGCACCGCGCGGAGAGGGCGAGGGGCAGCGGGAAGCCGCGGGAGTAGCGGGTGCGGGCGGCGAGGGGGCGAGGTTCAGCCATGACTACAGCAGGGGCGCTGGGGGAGGCGACGCAGAGAGGCATGCGTCGCAGCAGCAGTCGCAGCAGTCGCCGCAGCAGTCGCCCGCGCACGCGATGGTGCCTCGCCAGCGCACCATGCCCTCGCGCCTCTTCCCCGCCGCCCACTCCGCCCACGCCCCCTCCCCCTTCTCCCTCGCCGCGCCCTCCTCCCCCGGCCTCAGTCGCCCTTGCAGCACTGACAGGCCCGCAACGCCAAGCGAAGCAGAGGGGGCGGAGAGCGACAGCGAGCGCGCGGCGCAAGGCGTGCTCCCCCGCCAGACCACTCTCCCCCCGTGCTTCCCGCACGCCTCCCGCTTCGCACAGCCTCTGGGCCAGCCGCCTCCGGGCCTGCGCACGGCCTCCCCAGACCCGCGCGCGCCTGCAGCAGCGGAGGCGAGCGGGGGGAGAGAGCGGGGCAGTGGGCCGGAAGGGGGGGAAGAGGGCAGCGGAGGCGAGGAGGGGGAGGACGTGGCGGAGCTGCGGCGGCAGGTGACGATGCCAGGGGGGGCGGCGGGGGAGGGCGGGCGGTGGAGGGAGATGGGCGCGCCGAGCAGAGGGCTGCTGAGACAGCTGACAGACCCGCAGGAGAACCGACCCACCGCCAGAGTGGTGCAGAGCGGTGAGGCTGGGGGGGCGAGCGAGGGGGCGGACCGGCAGGAGAGGGAGGGCGGAGGCATGGGCATGGGCATGGGCGCGGGCAAGGGCATGGACGCGAGGGCAGGCGAGTGGGGTGAGAGTGCGTCAGCAGCAGGGTCGAGCGTGGGGGCATCGCCCTCGCTGCTCCACATTCTCACGAGGCAGCGGTCACAGCACAGCAGAGCGGGCGAGCAGGAGCGGGGCGCAGGGCGGGGCGAGGAGGACGAGGAGGAGGAGGAGCGCGGGATTGGAGGGCCGAACAGAGCGGCAGAGAGGGGGGGAGTAGCAGGCATGGGGGGTATGAGCGGCGGAGGGTGTGGGGGAGGGGGGAAGGGCAGGGGCAGTCATGAGGGGCCGTACCTGGTGCGGCTGAAGGGCGAGGACGAGGGGGAGGGGCAGCCTGGGGGGCGCAGTGAGTGGCGTGGCGGCAGCGCCGCCAGCAGCAGGCTCTCTTACGACTCAAACCCTGATCTGAGCATGGCAATGAATGGCATGAGGATGGGCATGGACGATGCGGGCATGGGCGTGGATGGCATGGGTGCACGCAGCAGCAGCAGCAGCAGCAGCAGCAGTGCGCTCATCCGCCAGCGCACCATGCCTCTGCCCTGCCCCGCCCACCGTGCACTCTCTGCTGCGCCCTCCCTCCCCCACGGCCACTCCCCCACGCCCTCCCCCATGGTGGGCGCAACACACAGCGCGGGCACCAGCGCGGGCAGCCCCTATGCCTCCGCGGACGCCCCCTCGTGGCTGCCCCGCCAGCACACCATGCCCGCCTCCCTGCCCCCCCCTGTGCCCGCCCCTGCCTCCCCCGCGCCCGCCTCCCCCGCCTCCGCCTCCAGAACCGCTGCAGGGGCAGGGGCAGGCGCAGGGGGAGGCGCAGGGGGAGGCACAGGGGCGGAGGCGGGCGGGGCGGGCGGGGGAAAGGGGCTGAGGGAGCGGAGGCCACTGGCATCGAAGCTAAAGGCGCTGCTGGAGTTGAAGCCGCTGAGAGGGGCGGGGGGGGAGGGCGCGGGCGAGGGGGGCAAGGGGGCGAGTGCATGGCGGCTGGGGGCCGTGGGGCAGGTGAGTCCCCTGCAGGGCGCTGCCAGGTACGTGCAGCAGGCCTTCGCCCCCCGCTCGCCCAAACCCGCCAAGGCAGCGCCGGCGCAGAGGGAGCGAGGCCGGGAGGGAGCGGGTAGTGGAGGCGTGGCAGGAGGGAGGGGGGAGGGCGCGGAGAGAGGGGTGGGGAATGGCGTGGGCGAGGGGATGGGGGAAGAGGAGGAGGGCGAGCAGTGGGGGATGCAGGGGGTGGTGGCGCGGAGGAGGGGGGGGGTGGAGGAGCAGGAGGTGTGGAACAGCGGTGCTGTAGCCATGTCGGAAGGCAGAGGCATGGGGGCAGGGGGCATGCAGCCGCACATGGGCGTGGGCGTGGGGATGGGGTTGCAGTCTTATTCCATGCACATGGGCCCTCCCAGGGGCGTGGGGATGGGCATGGGCTTGGGGGTGCAATCGTATTCAATGCACATGGGTCCGCCCACGGGTGTGGGCGTGGGCGTGGGCATGGGCGTGCAGTCATACTCCATGCATATGGGCATGCCCTTGCGCTCCGCCTCCCATGCGCAGCCCATGGCAGGGGACTCGGGCATGGGGACGGGCATGGGTGGCGGCAGGAGGAGCATGGGGGGAGGTGGTGGGGGTGCAAGGGAGGAAGCAAGGCCGGCGGCGGGGGAGGAGGCGTGGGGTGGTGGGGAAGTGTACAGGAGGAGTGCGAGCTCTAGGGGCCTCGAGGAGGGTGGGGCCATGGGGGCAGTGGGGCAGGGAGGCAGCAGGGCCATGGCTAGCGCGATGGGCGGGAGGGAGGCAGGGGGGTGGGGCAGTGGGGACGCGAGGAGTTGGGGCAGTGCAGGCAACGTGGCAGCAGCAGGGCGAGGGGACGCGTATGGGGCGGAGCAGAGCATGGCATTGCACTCTGACGCCCATGGTGTGGGCAGCGCCCCGCCCCACCAGCAGCAGCAGCAGCAGCAGCAGCAGCAGCAGCATCTGAGAATTGTCAAAAGTGATACAGCAGCGGGACGAATGGAGGGCGAGCGAGCAGCAGCGGCGGGTGTGGGGCCCACAGGCAGTGAGGGCCAGGCGTCGTCCCAGGTGCCACCGGACTTGCCGTGGCTCCCCCCGCCAGACGCCCCCCAGTTCGTGCAGGTCAGTCAGAGTGTGGGCGCTGATGGGCGCTGTTGGGTAGTGATGGGTTGTGGTAGGCGCGCCGCGCACATGAGCGCCGGCACTCTAAACGCTCCAATATCCCTCCACCTGCCACCTGCCGCCTTCCTGCGCCCATCACTCTGCCTCCTTCACTACTTTGCATGCCTCTTTTTAACTCTCACCCTTTTCTCCGTCACTTCCTTCTGCCTCTGCCGCCCTCGCCCCCTCGCCCCTTGGTCTCCCCTTCCCTGTGCACTGCAGTGCCAGCACTGTGGGCAGACGCTGGCAGTGCCGCAGAATCTGCCAGCTGCCTCGCCATCTCTTAAGTCGCCCCTTTGCCCCCTCATCCCTCCCCCTTGCGCCCTGCAGTGCCAGCACTGCGGGCAGACACTAGCAGTGCCGCAGAATCTCCCACGCAGCCGCAAGAACAAGATGGTGCAGCGCTTAAGGTGCGGCAGCTGCCTTGCCATCTCCTCCTTCGCCATCCCCCCGCCCCCTTCCTCCTCTGACTCTCCCTCCTCCGCCTTCCCCGCCTCCCACTCCCTGCCCCTCCACCTCCACTCCTCCCCGTCCCACGCTTCCCCGGAACCCACCCAACCTGCTCGCCCTCCTGCCTTCACCCCACAACAACCACAATACAGCCAACAGCAGCAGCAGCACCAGCAGCCACAGTATAACCACCAGCAGCAGCAGCAGCAGTATAGCCAGCAGCACTATAGCCAGCAGCAGCAGGTGCGCATGAGTGAGAGGGAGTGGCAGCAGCAACGGCAGGCGGCAGGCCCCATGAGCCGCTCCTCCTCCTCCCCAGGCATACACCCCCACGCTGCTGCCTCCCCCGCCCTCTCCTCCTCGCCCTCGCCCCTCCACGTCCCCCACCACCACCTCCCCGCCGCCCCCTCCTCGCCGTTTTCCTCCGCTCCACCTGCTGCTGACTGGACACCGCCCCCTGCTGACTGGACGCCTCCCCCTGCTGACTGGACGGAGCGGGCAGCTGATTCCCCCGTGATGAAGCGCCTGCAGAACGGGGCGCGGGCGAGAGGCACTTGGGAGGAGGAGGCGCAGCAGCGGGGGGCGGCGGCAGGAGCGGGCGGCTGGCTGCAGGGCGGACTGGAGGAGGAGCTGGGGGCGAGGTGGCAGGGGGAGGGGCAGTGGCGGGCCGGGCGGCAGGAGTCGTATGGGAGTGGGAGTGGGAGTGGGGGGGAGGCGTATTGGGAGGAGGGGGGGTCGTATGGGCGGGGCGTGGTGGTGAATGGCAGCCCCATTGCTGATGGCCTCGTGGCCCAGGCTGAACTCACTGCCGGCCCCATCCTCCCCGGCCACTACTGGTATCACCCACCCACTCATGCCCGCCTCATGCTGCTGCCATGCCACCATTCTTTTTCCGCCTTGCACGGTGCCCCGTGAACCTTGCACCTTGCGCTTTGCCTATTGCGCCTTTCACCGTGCATTGACACACACCATGCATTGCCGCTGTCCTCGTGCCGCGCCTCTCACCTGCGGCACCGTGCCACCCACCATTCTTCCCTCCCCCTCTCTCCCAGGTACGACCACAGAGCTGGCTTCTGGGGGGTCGTGGGCGGCCCGTGTCTCGGCATCATCCCCGTAAGCCATCCTTGCTCCCCCTCCTCGCACCACCCACCTATCACCCTCCTGCTACCATCGCTGTCACCCCCCTGCTACCGCCTCCTGTGAGTCGCACCACTCCCATCCCAAACCCCCCCTCCCTCCTGGCACTCCCGTGCGTGCGTGTGTGTGCGTGTGCGTGTGTGTGCATGCAGGCGCGTCTGCCGCAGTTCCCAGAGGTCATGCAGCGAGAGTGTTCGGGCGGCAGGACCGGAGTGGTGGTGAACGGCAGGGAGCTGCAGCGCCGCGACCTCGACCCCCTCGTGCGCCGGGGCGTGCCCGCTGTGCCGCACCGCGCGTACCTGCTGGACCAAGACGGCCGCGTGCTCGATGCCGCCTCCGGTGCCCTCGTCGCCAACCTGGGGCCCCTTGCACCGTCGTGAGTCGCCCTCACACCCCGCCGTGTTGCTTGGCGGTCACATGCCCATCCTCCTTGCATGCAAGCTCTCTTTGCAGGATTCGTTTCCACTTGCTTACTCTCAACGTAGATGATGTTTGTTGTAAGGTGACTGTGCATGCTCCAGATGCAGCTGGCACATGGTTCTCTCTTTTCAGTTGCACCGTATCCTCGTGCTCCTCCCTTCCCGTACAGGCTGAAAACTAAGCGGGGGAATGGCATGTTCACTCCACAAACAAACTGATTATTGGCTTGTGTTTAGAATGGGTCAGAATCCAAGTGTTTTGTGTAGGTTGCCCCATCACCTTGCAGTTGAATGAAGCATTTGAGAATAGGCAAATCATCTTCTTTCTTGTAGTTTTGTAATGTTACCTTTTACTAAAAATATATACCCTATACGTATCACACATCGATACACTTGCTCCGAACTGTTCTCGACGATGCGCGGGAAATTTACCCCTCGTGAATCAAAGCGCGACGCGGTCAGTACTCGAGGGGTTCCCCTGGGCTTGCCCTGGATCAGATCGTCAAATCCTGAAGGTTGTCACCGAGCCGCATGGGAAGGGGCGGTGGCAGAAAGCGACCTGACATGTCAATGTCGAGGCGAGGTAAAATCCAGAATTCAGTCAGACATTTCTTTTCTCCCTCGACCTACTCCGTTCTGTTTTCAAGGCTCCACGATTTCAAAAGGCCGCCACTTGGCTTGTTTCCACTTTCACTCTGGTTTGTCTCAGTAGATCGGGTTTGCTAGCTTGCTTTTGTTGCTGATGTTTCTTTAGATTTGGACGTGATGGCAGCAGCATATAAGTCAGGTAGATACGACGGATATGGCGTCTCATTCGATTCGCGATCGGGGTATTACGAGACTCCGCAGCGAGAAAGAGACGGCGCGATGTCTGCCTCGGACGAGGAGAGCCGTTATTGCAATCTTAAAGCGGACGCGCAGGCAGCAGCATGGAACGCATCAGCAGAGCCAGCGGGACCATCGCCATCCTTGGCAAAGGCAGCGTCGTGGCTCATGCGCAAAGGCAGCCCGCCTGTCGATGTCACACCGCCCGGCCTCCTGCCGGCGTCTCCGTCTCACAGCTCAGACGGCCAACCGTCCGCTCAGTCGGTAGACCTCGACATGGACGTTGGGGGGGCAGCAGCGGAGCATCCGGTGGGGCGGTCAAGCGCTGTGTGGCTGCCTCTGCCGTCGCCGCGCGTGCAGGAGGAGTCCGCCGGCTTGGTAGCGCATGAAACGAGGCGGCAATCATCGGGGTTGGTTGCGCGGAAGCAGCAGAAGAGCGAGAGCAGAAATGTTCCCTGGTCGTTTCACCAGCTGCTTCAGGCGGACGCGACGAGCGAGGAGCGCGTGGAGGCAGCGGAGCAAAGAAAGCAGATCCCACGGCGAAAGTCGCTTGAGACGAGACGGGTGAGCAGAGAGGCACGTGCTCGACAGCAGGACAAGGAAGTCAGGGCGGCGGCGCGCGATCACTCGTTAGAAAGAATAGCGCGCCACCGATCAGCGAACGTGGATCGGAACCGTTCGATCCAACTAGGTAGCACGCGAGAAGCACGGACGCGTTGGCCGCAGCGACGAAGCGCAGCTGAGCGTCGCGCGGACGACAAGGCAGCGGCGAGTTCGGACAGCTCGTCCGACAGCGAATGCGAAAGTAGAGTCGAGGGCGCGCGCAGGGGGCAGGAGGGACGCGAGAGGAAAGGAAGAGAGGCGACGAACGATAACCCAGTGGGGGCTATGAGGGAAGGAGGCAAAGCAACAGATTTCCTGCACGATGGGTTGGGGGACGCCGTGAGAGAGGAGTGGGGCACGCGAGACGAGGGGGTGGAGGTAGAGGGGCCGGAGGACGGGGGGCGTGATATTGGCATCTTAGTGATGGGGCACCCCGTTCTGCCGCACGACGTGCCTGCACGCGGCGACGCTGAGCACTGGGAGAGCCATGCGGCGGGAGAGAGGGCGGGAGTGCGCGAGGGGGAGGGGGAGATTAAAGGCCAAGTTGAGAACGAGGGCGCGGCGGTGCGGTTGGCGGGGTTACTAACGGACGACATGTTGCAGTGCAGCTTCATGGACCCGGGCAAGCGCGCGCTGGGCCTCGCGCACGACCACGACGACGTCGATGGCGAAGCTTCTCACGACCGCCGTGCGCGTGCCAGCGCCAATGATCATTTGCAGGCATCGACTCATGGGACCAGCGATGCCGCCCTCTCGCACCACCGCCTCTTTCCTCCCCTCTCCCACGCCTCGCCTGCGTCTGCGCCCACTCTCCATAACTCCTTGCCGAGCGCCATCGATGCCCCGCGAGGCGGTCTCGTGTTCGGCGTGCCCGTGTCCGCCCCGCTCCTTGCCTCCTCCGCTTCCCTACCGCCCTTCGCCCCCACCGCCAATTCTTCCGCCACTTTCGGAGCGGCCGCGGTGACGCGGCTGCCGCTGTCGGTGCTGCAGCACGGGTCGCTCGTGTGTCTGCTGGCCGGCTCCTCGCGACTGGCGGCCGTGCGCTATCAAGGAAGGTACGTCCGCCAGACGACACGCCGTGCCGCGTGGGACAGACGAACGCGCGTGCGCTCTGCGTACTGACGCCTACGAAGCCGAGTGACAGCACTTGCAGGCACGGCCACTTTTCCGACTCATTCGATCTTATCGTAGCTTTCCCCTTTTTTCGCCCTCCCCTTTTCCCCGTGCCATCCACTGACGGCTGGCCGGTAGGTGGGAGCTGGGCACGCCGACGCCGTCAAACGCTGACGACAGCTCCAACCCCCTCGCGGCCTCACCCACCGACCCGCTCCGCCGCTCCGCCCACGCCGCGTCGCTGGCTGTGTGCGCGTCGCTGACGGGCGGGTTGGGCCGCTGGCCGCTAGACTGCCTCTTCGTGCTGCTCGTCGTCGCGCCCGCGTGCATCGCGCTGCGCTCCCTCGCCGCCGACGGCCGCTGCCTCTCCGCCGCGCTGCTGCCCGGCGAGCGCGACTCGTTCCGCACCTGGTGAGCGCCGCGTGGGGGGATCGTGTGGGATTAGACGGGGGAAGTGTGTTTTCATGCCTGTAGAGGCGGCGCTGAAGTGTATCATGTGTCGTACGGCTCGTCAAACCTCACGTGCCGCTCACTGCCTGCCGCCCCGCTGCCTGCCGTGCTTGCCGTGTGCGCGCAGGTCCGTGGGCGACGCGGAGACCTGGGAGGTTCTGCCCGCCGGCGCCGTGGGGGAGGGGGTGGCGGAAGCAGGGGAGGCGGGCGACGGGAGTGCGGAGAGCGCAGGCGGGTGGAGCTGGGGGAGGGAGGGCGTGGTGGAGGGCGGAGTGCTGCTGCGCAGCTGCGCCAGCCCCGCGCGCGTGCTGGACGTGGCGCTGTTCGGGCTGCTCGCCAAGACTCTCTCCGCGTGGCGCCACGTGGAGGCCGCCGCCGCCGCTGCGCCGCTGCTGCACCACCAGGTGAGTGAGGGCGAGTGGGAGCGAGTGAGGGCGAGTGAGAGCGAGTGTTAGCGACTGGGCGTGAGGGGTGCGGGGGCGATCGGCCGCGTTCCTCGCACGAGCTGTGCTGTGTTATGCAATTCTGTGCTGCCATGTGTCGACGTATGGTGACGTGTGCTCATGCGTTACCGTGTCTTACCGTCTGTTGCCGGGTGTCATCATGTCTCAACATGTGTCGCCATGCGATGCAGGTGAAGCAGCTGCAGCAGCGAGTGGGCGACGAGGAGGCGGCGAGGCGAGAGGCGGAGGGGGCGATGGAGGAGCGGCGGCAGCGGTGGGAGGAGGAGAGTGCGCGCATGCGCGCAGAGGCGGACGAGCAGCGGGACACCATCGAGCAGCTCCACGTCCAAGGTACGCCCGCCCTCGGCTGCTCTGCGCGCAGTGCTCTGCGCGCCCTCAACTGCTCTGCGCGCGGTGCTCCGTGCACTGCGCGCGTCCGCGCTGTCATGCGTGTGAGTTCTCCAATGTGAACGGGACTGCGCTGCCGTCTGCTCTGCTCTGCTCTACTCTGCGCTGCCATTCCTCGCTCTCCCTGCATCTCCCTTCAACCCCTCAACCGCTCTCACGCATGTCTCCCGACGCCGCTTCCCCAACCCGTCACCCCCCTTCCGCAGTGAATTCGCTAGGCGCGGATCTCGAGCGCGCCGTGACGCTGCTTGAGGCCGCCAGGCCCGCGCGCAAGGGGGCGCGCGGAGGGCCGCAGCGGGGAGCGGAGTGGGCGGAAGTGGTTGGGATGGGGAAGGCGACTGGCGCGGAGGGCACGGGAGGCAGTGCGGGGAGTGAGGCGAGGGGAGGCGATGGCAGGGGACCGGCGGGTGCGGACGACGAGGGGGAAGATGCGGGCGAGGCAAGGTGGGCGGATGTGAGCGGCGGAAGCGGCAGTTTCGCTTCCGCCACTCCCCATGCCCCACCCAGCTGTGCGCCTCCCACTCGCGCCCCTCCCGCCCCCGGCGCCAGTCACGGAGCGCCGCGGGAGGGGCAGCGCGACAGCCGCGGCGGCGGCAGCAGTGGCGCTCGCTCCCCCGTCACCAGCGGCAGTTCGGCCGTGGCTCGCGCGCTCTCCGCCTCCTCCGCCTCCCCCTCTGACTCTGAGTCCGACTGCGGCAGCGGCGCTTCCCCCGGCCGCCGCAGACCCTCGTACGTCATTGCGGAGCAACCGCAACAGCAACCGCAGCTCCGCGCGCCTTACCGCCCAGCCAGCGGCGGCGGCGACAAGTTTTGGCAGGCGGCACGATCGGTGGGTGGTAGGGGAGGCGCGGAGACGCGGAACGAGAGCGATGCGGCTTCGTTACGGGCCGAGGGGAAGGGTGGTTCGCACGGCGCGCAGGGCGCTTCAGCCGTGGAGTTGGGCGTGTTGCTTCGCCGAACCTTCTCTCCCATGCGCGTCCGCCGCAGCCTCTCGTCGTCGAAAGGGGAAGCGGGCGCAAGCCGCGGGGTGGGGGACGGCGGAGGCGCGAGAAGCGCGCTGCAGGACGTGATGGGGCGGGCTGCGGGGGCTTGGGGGGCAGGGGGGGCGCGCGTGGGAGAGAGCGCGGAGGAAGGGCTGCGGGGTGCGAGGCATCCCGCGAGGGCAAGAGACGAGCGCGAGGGGGCGCAAGTAGGGGCAGGGGGAGCCGGAGAGGAGGCGGTGGGAGTTGGGCTGAGAGGAGAGGGGGAGGCTCGCACGCAGCACGGGGAGGGCGGGGAGGGGATGGGCGGAGAGGGGGAGGGAGCTGTGCGGGGTATGGCGCAGCGGGCGCAGCATGGGGGGCCGGAGGCGTGGGTGGCGGAGAATCAGCGCGTGGTAGTGCTGGAAGAGGTGGCGCGGGGGGGAGAGGGGGCGCGCGGAGAGGCAGAGGAGGCGAGAGGCGCGAGCGCCGCGAGTGAGGGGAGCGAACCGAGTGGTACGACGAGTGGTGTAAGTGGCATGAGCGGCATGAGTGGGGTGGACGAGGAGTGGGAGGAGCAGTGCACGGAGCAGGGATGGGTGCTGCGCCCTGTGTCACGTGCAGGGGCGGGGGCGGGGGCAGGGGCAGGGTTGAATTCACAGGCTCGCTCGTATGGCGTGTGCTGCACCGCGGATGATGACGTGGCGGGTGACGTGGAGGATGAGGTGGACTCGGAGCAGGTGCGGCAGTCACTGCTGCAGACGCGGATGGGTGGGAGCGCGGGAGAGGGCAACGGGGAGAGCAGTGGGGGGAGCGGAAGCGACACTGGGAGCAGGTCGGCCAGGGGCGGCACAGCAGCAGTGGCAAGACCAGCAGCTGGGGCAGGCGCAAGCAGTGGGATGGCAGGCGGCGGAGCAGCAGCTCGTGCTGCCCACACGGGGCGTCAAGGGGGACCTGGCGCTGCTGCTGCTGGTGCTCCCGCTGGTGGTGCGAGCAGTGGAAGGGCACAGGGCTCCACAGGGGGGGCAGGGGCGCAGGCGCAAGGGGCGGAGGGAGGGCGGGCAGGGGCGGGGGCGGGAGAGGAGCCCCCCTCGGCGTTGAAGCAGCGTGTGGCGGCCCTGCGCTCGCGCGTCTCCGCCCTCCGCGCCACCTCCTCCTCCCTCCTCGCCCCCACTCCTGCCACCGCTGCTGCCACTGCCACTGGCGCTGCCACTGCCGCTGGCGCTGGCGCTGATGGTGGGAGAGGGGCGGGTGGGGTCGGTGCTGGGGTGGCGCAGGGGAGGGAGCAGGGAGGGGGTGGTGCGCACGTGGGGGAAGGCCAGGGCGCAGAGACTAGACGGGGGGGGCTTGCAGGCATACGGGAGAGTGGCAGTGAGAGGAGTGGCAGCGACGGCAGCAACATGTGGGGCAGCAGCGGTGCTGGACACAGTGCCGCCATTCCCACTAGCTTGACACACGCCGCTGCTGCTGCTGCCAGAGGATTTGTGAGTGCGGCTCACAGGCAGTTCGGTGCTGGCAGCAGGGCGGATGCGCGGCAGGCAGGGTGGCAGGGCGGTGGGAATGAATCGAGGGATGTGAGGCAGGGCGGGAGGGGCGTGGAGGAGGGGAGTGGCGGTGCTGGTGGGGAGAGGTCGGTAGCGGTGCTGCGAGAGAGGAGCAGCAATGTGCCGGATGGATCCACCAGGGAGCTCAAGAAGCCAGCAGCAGTGTTAACAGCAGGCAGTGCGGGCGGACGGGCAGGGCTGGTGGCGGTAGATCCAGGGGAGCGGCATCTGCAGTCGCTGCTGCCGGTGCGCGTGCTGGTGAGGGAGAGGGCCTCGCAGCAGGGGGGAGAGGCGGCAGGAGGGCAGCAGAGCAGCGGTGAGAGCGGTGTGTGGCACAGGGGCATGGAGCAGAGAGGGGCAGTGGGGAGGGACATGCGTGTCGCCAGTCGCACTCTCTCGTCCACCTCTGCTTCTTCTGACTCGCACGCCCTCCCTGCGCTCCTGCACTCGCCCCGCCACCCGCACGGCAGCAGCAGCCCGCAGAGTGCCAGTGGAGGGTCGAGCCCTGCCCTGGGCTTGCTCACTCGCTTCCTCTCCCCCTCTCGCCGCTCCCCGTCTCACCCCAGCCAACCCCAGCTCCCACAGCAGCAGCAGCACCCACAGCAGCAGCAGCACAGGGGCACCCAGTCGGGAGCTGCAGCCCCTCAGGCAGCAGCGGCTGGCGTGCGGCGCAGCATTCACGGCAGGCAGGGCAGCAGCGGGCGGGCGTCGTCCCCCTCGCGGCGGCTGTGGGCCGTGGGGCGGTCTACAGAGAGGCGCGCAGAGGAGCGGTGTGGGGGGCGCGGGCAGAGTGGGGCGTGGGGGAGGGGCGCAGCAGAGCAAGTGCAGGAGGACTCTATGAGCAGCACAGGAGGTGAGTCGTGTGTGAGGCAAGGTTGATGCGTGCAGAGGAGCGGTGTGGGGGATGGGCGCAGCAGAGCAAGTGCAGGAAGACTCGATGAGCAGTACAGGAGGTGAGTCGTGAGGCAGGTTTGAGGCATTCTTGGGAGGTACCACAGGAGGTGAGGCATGAGTGTGAGGCAGCACAGGAGGTGAGGCGTGCGTGAGGCAAGTTTGAGGCATTCTTGGAGGTACCTCTCAGAGGTAGTGGCATGTCTGCACAGCTCTCCGGGCATGTAAGACGCTGCTGTGGTCAGGAAGAGAATCGCACTAGCTCCTCCTGTCCCTGCAAAGTGCCCTTCCCACCCCATTCTCTCTACCACTGCTTCCCACGATGATTCCTTCTCATCTCCCTTCCTTTCCCTCTCCTGTTGCTCGTCTCCCTCCAGGAGTGTGCACGTAGCTTCATGCTCGAGTACCATGCCTGTTTTGTGTGTCTTGCCAATTTTAGTCAGTATTTATTGGTACCGTAGTTTGAAATGCAGCCATAGAATGAGTTTTTCGCTGACTCTGCCTTGTTTTTGTTAGAATGCAAGATTTGTTTTCGTCGCCAGGCTGTTCTTTCAGCCTGTTGTTGGAACAGTGACAATGCAGGGTCCTATAGTCTTGACAGACAAAGTAATACCATAAACTAAAATGCAAAAGAAAGGAGTCGCATCGCATAGCCTCCTGGCCTGCAAAGACAAGCCACAAAGACGATTTACAATGGCGGCCCATATGAAGTCACGAGTCAGTTGGGTAGGCTGATAGGGATCTCTGAGTAAGAAAGGTAGAGGGAGGTTGAGGGAAGAGAGGGGCAATGTAAAAGAAAGAGTCGCCTCGCCTCCTTGCATAGAGAGACAGGCGACACGAAATCACAAGGGGCAAGACTAAGAGTCGAGAGGAGCCTAGGGCCCGGAGGAGCCTGGGTAGGAAAGGTAGAGGGAGGATAATTGAGGGAAGATGGGAGGCAATGTATAAGGGAGCATGTGAAACGTGAGAGAGACGTAAGGCAGGGGAACAGTAACGGGTCAGCGTGGGGAAGATGAGAGGTAGGTTGGTGGAACGGGGGGAGAGGGGGAGGAGGATGAGGGTTGCGTGGGGGGAATATGACGGGTGAGCAAGGGTGGAGATGATCGGGGACTGAGGGTGGGTGAGGGGAAGTGGGGGGTGAGTGGGAATGGACAGGTGGGCTGAGGAAGGGAGAGAGGAGGGGGGGAGGGAGCAGATGAGGGGTGAATGGAGGAGGGGGGCGATCAGGGGTGCGGTGGGGATATGAGGGGAGGGCGGAGCAGGGATTGGGGGGGGGGGGAAGCGGAGCAGGGAATGGGGGGGGTGTGACAGGAGATCGAAATAGAATGAGAGTAAGTTGGAGGGGGATGAGGAGTCAGTGAGGGGGGAACGAGAGGTGGGGGGAGACGAGAAGAGGGGAGAGTGGGGGAGATGATGGGAGAAGTGAAAAGGGGAAATGAGGGTAGAGTGGGGGAAGATGAGGGGAATGGGGAGGGAGGGGAGAGGAGATGCGGGGTGAGGAAGGAGCGCGGAATGAGCAGGGAGAGACGACGGAAAAGCAGGGGGGGAGAGACGAAAGCGGGGGGACATGAGGAAAGAGCGGGAGGAGATGAGGAATGTCCCCCCACACCTTGCACCCCATTCCCCCTCCCCATCTCTACCCTCCTCCCTGCCCTCCCACACTTCCCCGGCTCGCACCCCCCACCCCACCCCCCTTACATTTCCCCTTTTCACATTTCTACCGACTTGCCTGGGAGCGCACCTGCATCCGCTTAATCACCGCGTTTGACGCTTAACGCCACGAATCGTCTGCGTATCCGCCTACGGGTTCGACTTGCCTAACGCCACCGAATCGTCGGCAGCGTCGAATCTAACCAGGTGCGAATCGAAGCTACTAATGCGCCCGTATCGAAAGTTTCAGTGAATCGACGGTGGCCGCCAGATCGATGTTAACTAATCCGTCCGAAATGTGTCCACAAATCGACACGGCTAATGTGCCCGCAAATGGATGTAACTAATCAGTCCGAAATTCAACGTTACTATTCCAGCCGCATCGAGAAAGATTGAAAAAAGTGTGCGACTACTGGCTACCTTATGCAATCTGAAGCGCGCAACTGTCGGTACATATGATCCGATGTCAGTAAGAGTTACTGGCGGTACTTTATTCACTACGTCAAGCGACTACTATAGAACTACGCATATATCAACTGCTATCTACGGTGCTACGCCTTGGGTCGCGCTTAGATTTACCAAGAAGCGAAGGTGCCGCGCGAAGATCTACTAACACGGAACGAATACAGGTAATGGGCACAAGTGCATTGCTCAACTGGTAGAAGGTGCGAGGTGCTGGTTGAAATGCCGTGGTGGTTGTGCGATGGTGACCGAATCACCCTCGACTCCGATTGGCTCGCGAGACTGTTTATCTCAACCACTCCAAGCTCATTCTGCTGCCCGAACCTGGTTCACAGGCAGCGAAGATAGTTTCGAGAGCAGCTAAACTTCGCGAGGATTCAGCCAAACATTTTTCTTACCCTGTTCTACACCACACAATCCCGCGCCTCACGCGGGCCTCACTAAGCAAAACTCATGGTCCCTTTCTAGCAAAGCGCGCCACGTCAGTTTCCTCCTAAAGGTTCGTGCCTGCCCCAGCTCCAAACCTGGATTGCACGCACACCAAATCAAACCCAACCACCTGCGATACGCGCCCCAATAAAACTCGTTTCCAGCAACATAATGAAAACCAGACTGAACAGGGCTCATATCGTATTGCAATGTAGTTTGGGATGCTGTGAACTGTACACACTGCAGCCGCCGTCAAAATTTCCCGGCATTCCCCGCTGACATAATCCATGCGGGCCCCACGAGTCATGATTCACAGCAGTAGCGATCACCCCTCGAGAAAATCTCGACCATACAGTAGCGGCTCTATCCACACCTCGAAACCATCTTCACCGTCGATGGAGGCTATGGAATCCAGCGCATCAATTCAACAAAACCAACCAATGCCAGCCCTTCCCGCACTTCACACAGAAAGAGCTGCCGAGCCGCACCCCACTGCACCCAGCAGCACATCACTTTTCGAACTGAAGGCGCGCTCTGTCGCGCGGGGCGGCCTGCGCCCAACACCATTCTCGAATCGAATTCATCACTGCTTGGTCTCCTGCCTGACTTGATCCTCTTCTGGAGCACCTGAAACAGCCTTCTCTGTCCTTCTCCTGCAGTCTCTTCGCTCACAGCGAGCATCCCATACCTCCCAACCAAACAACAAGTACCATCAATGGAGTCCATTTTCAGCTTTTATCCTTCGCGAGATTCCATTTGAAGGATCTTCACAAGAACTTCTCCTACCATATACGGACTTTAGGCTACAAGCTCCAAGGAGCAGTTTGTGATGAATGAAGCCAAACCGGCTCGTACAAGAGGAAGCACTTGGCATGCTGCAGCTGGGTGGGATGGGTTGGGTAGCTTTAAAGAGTTGTAAAGCTGCGCTGCCTCGAGCTGATCCTTGTACGACGTCGAGGTTCTCGCAGCATGGTCTTTCACCGCGAGAACTCCAATTAAAATCCCCACTTCGCCTTCTTACTGAAGGATCAATGAAGACCCCTCCTTGTGTGGTTCTTCTCCCAATGTGGTTCCTCTTCCCGCCAACAATGAAGACTTCCCATGAGGTTCCGCTTCCCGTGTGGGTCCTCTTCTCGCCAAGAATGAAGACTTCCGTGTGGGTCCGCTTCCCGTGAGGGTCCGCTTCCCGTGTGGGTCCTCTTCTCGCCAACAATGAAGACTTCCGTGTGGGTCCGCTTCCCGTGAGGGTCCGCTTCCCGTGTGGGTCCTCTTCTCCCCAACAATGAAGACTTCCGTGTGGGTTCGCTTCCCGTGAGGTTTTTCTTCCCGTGTGGGTCCGCTTCCCGTGTGGGTCCTCTTCTCGCCAACAATGAAGACTTCCGTGTGGGTCCGCTTCCCGTGAGGGTCCGCTTCCCGTGTGGGTCCTCTTCTCCCCAACAATGAAGACTTCCGTGTGGGTTCGCTTCCCGTGAGGTTTTTCTTCCCGTGTGGGTCCGCTTCCCGTGTGGGTCCTCTTCCCGCCAACAATGAAGACTTCCCATGAGGTTCCTCTTCCCATGTGGGTCCGCTTCCCATGTGGGTCCGCTTCCCATGTGGGTCCGCTTCCCATGTGGGCCCGCTTCCCATGTGGGTCCGCTTCACGTGTGGTTCTTCCCACCGCCATCCATGAGGTAAGTTCAGGCGACCTTGGCGCTTCACGTGGCGCCGATGGCAACTTGATGGTTTGACCGTCGCTAGTGGAGCTTCGGTTTCAGCTTGGTAAGGCACCCGCTTTATTTCTTTTCGTCGCTTTAATGTTCCTCGCATGGCACTCGCTTTACATCCAAGTTGCTAACCTTGTTCGTTGTTATATGCAGTAAAAGAAAGCGGCCCGTTGGTGGAGCTTCACACCGCGATTGGCGTCGCTTCCGTGGTGCGGTCGCATGGCGCTTGGCGACGCTTCTCCCGTCGCTCGGTGCTTGGCGACGCTTCTACCGTCGCTCGGCGGTTGGCGACGCTTCCCCCGTTGCGCGGCGCTTCGTGCGGCTCTCGGCGACGCGTCCCGTCGCATGGCGGCACTTCTCTTTTTCGTCGTCGTCATTTTCTCGTTTTTGCTGTTTTCTATTTCGTTTTTTTATCATTCAATTCTGACCGTGGTCGTTGTTACCTGCAGTTAGTAAAGCGGCCTGTTTTGGAGCTTCACACGGCGATTCGCGACGTTTCTTCCTCCGTGGAGCGGCGATTGGAGCGGCTCTTGGCGACGGCTCTCCCACCGCACGGCGATTGGCACGGCGTTCCGGTTGACGGTTGGCGACGCTCTCCCGTCGCTCGGCGGTTGGCGACGCTTCTCTCGTCGCTCGGTGGTTGGCGACGCTTCTTCCGTCGCGCGGCGCTTCGTGCGGCTCTCGGCGACGCGTCTCGTCGCATGGCGGCACTTCTCTTTTTCGTCGTCGTTTCTTCCTCGTTTGTTGTTGTTTTCTGTTTCGCTTTTTTATCATTCGGTTCTGACCGTGGTCGTTGTTACCTGCAGTTAGTAAAGTGGCCTGTTTTGGAGCTTCAAGCGGCGATTCGCGACGTTTCTTCCTCCGTGGAGCGGCGATTGGAGCGGCTCTTGGCGACGGCTCTCCCACCGCACGGCGATTGGCACGGCGTTCCGGTTGACGGTTGGCGACGCTCTCCCGTCGCTCGGCGGTTGGCGACGCTTCTCTCGTCGCTCGGTGGTTGGCGACGCTTCTTCCGTCGCGCGGCGCTTCGTGCGGCTCTCGGCGACGCGTCTCGTCGCATGGCGGCACTTCTCTTTTTCGTCGTCGTTTCTTCCTCGTTTGTTGTTGTTTTCTGTTTCGCTTTTTTATCATTCGGTTCTGACCGTGGTCGTTGTTACCTGCAGTTAGTAAAGTGGCCTGTTTTGGAGCTTCAAGCGGCGATTCGCGACGTTTCTTCCTCCGTGGAGCGGCGATTGGAGCGGCTCTTGGCGACGGCTCTCCCACCGCACGGCGATTGGCACGGCGCTTCGCTCGGCGGTTGGCGACGCTTCTCCCGTCGCTCGGTGGTTGGCGACGCTTCTCCCGCCGCGGCGCTTCGTGCGGCTCTCGGCGACGCGTCTCGTCGCATGGCGGCACTTCTCGTTTTCGTCGTCGTTTGTTTCTCGTTTCCTTCGTCATCGTTTCTGTTTCGCCTTTTTATCATTCTGACCATGGTCGTTGTTACCTGCAGTTTGTAAAGCGGCCTGTTTTGAAGCTTCACACGGCGATTCGCGACGTTTCTTCCTCCGTGGAGCGGCGATTGGCGCGGCTCTCGGCGACGTCACGGCGATTGGCACGGCGCTTCGCTCGGCGGTTGGCGACGCTTCTCCCGTCGCTCGGTGGTTGGCGACGCTTCTCCCGTCGCGCGGCGCTTCATGCGGCTCTCGGCGACGCGTCTCGTCGCATGGCGGCACTTCTCTTTTTTCGTCGTCGTTTCTTTCTCGTTTATTGTTGTTTTCTGTTTCGATTTGTTATCTTCAGGTTCTGACCGTGCTCTTTGTTACCTGCTGTCAGTGTAGCGGCATGTTTGGCACGGCGCATCGCTCGGACGCTCCTCTCGTCGCTCGGCGGTTGGCGACCCTTCTCTCGTCGCGCGGCCCTTCGCACGGCGGTTGGCGGCACTTCTTCAACCACCCTCCCAGGTAAGGTGTTCTTTCAATTTTACTTGATTGTTCTCTTCAAAATCACTAACAGTTTCTGTTTACCCTTGTAGCAGGAGCAGTAGCGGGAGCGGGAACGGGAACGGCAGCAACTTATATCATGGTAAGTTGTCGTTTCAGTTATGATTGTTTTTTCATTGCTTACTACTAACATTCTCTGCTTGCCCTTGTAGCAGGATCAGGAGCACGAACGGGAGCGGGAGCGGGAGGGGGGACGGCAACAACAACTTTAAGGTGAGGTGTCGTTTCAGTTTTAGTATTTTGTTAAATTCACTCTTACTAACTCATTCTGTTTGCCCTTGTAGCAGGATCCGCGAGGAGCAGAGGAGCGACGGCGGCGCGACAGAGTGGCGGAGGAGCGGAGCGACGGCAGAACGACGGTGGCGCGGTGCGGCGGCGGTGCGACGGCGATGGACCGGATCGGCGGATCGGCGGATCGGCGGACATCGGAGCAAAGGAGCGGCGGAGCTGCGCTGGAGTTTGACTCCTTCCCCCTCCCCCTCCCCCGTTCCCCCTCCCTTTGTCAGGCATTCGGGAGGAACTGTGTCAGCTAGGACGATTAGGAGCGTTAGATTAAGGGAGCTAGTGGGGGTGGGTGGGTTGCGTTTACCTCCTCCTCCTCTTCCCTCTCCTCAACGGCCGTCTTCACTGCTGCTGCTCAACCTCAAGAGAGATCTTGCCGAGGCGTCGTTTCTCCTTGGTCTCATCTCAAATTAACCCGAAATTATCGTCCCTCCCTTCCGAAATTATCGTCCCTCCCCTCCCAAACAGGGTCCCGAACGAATGGCCCTCACCTCAACGCGGTGTTCGGGTGTAACGCTAGAGGCATTTGCCTCTAGCGGCCAAGAAGGGTCAAGGGTAAGTGGAGCTCAAGAGGCGGCGGATCTGCGGAGGAAGCGGTTCGACACTTGGCGATGTTCAAACGGCGGCGGATCTGAGGAGGAAGACACTCCGGAGGAAGACACTCTAGCGATGCATTTTGGAATTGTATGACTTGTACTTTATAAATTAAGTGTTGTACTTCATAAATCCAAGTGCTGTTTATGATTTTTGTGCTGTTTATGACTTCTGTAAATCTAGGCTTAACACAAACCATCCTGCATACTCCATTGGGCAAAGGCTGCCGCGCGCGGCATAGCGCGACACTCAGCTTCAAATACGGTATGAAGTCACGCTCTGTGTAGTCAGGTGCGACACGGCCGCTCCCTTCTGTGCTAAAGAACGGGCGAAAGTTGAATGGATGGGGGTGGACGATTGTAGCCGCGGTCAACACTGGAGACCTTCTCGCGCTGTGGGATGGAGCTGGTGGTAACTGAAGTGTGTACAGTATGACAGTACAATTTGAACACTTTTCGTTTTTAGCTTAGAGATGATGTTGAGTTTCGGTTTGCGTTGTGTTTTTGCAAACGAGTATACTCAGGGAGCGTATTGCTAGTGAAATGGTCTATGTGAGCTGGCTACGTAGGTTTGGAGCTGGGGCAGGAGTAGCTTCTAGGAGTAATCTGACGTGGCAGTTCTAGTTTGCGTAAGGTGCGGAATGTTGTAAGAATTGGTCGATAATATTTTTTGGCTGAGCTGTCACGAAGTTGAGCTGCCTCTGAACCAGGTTCGGGCAGCTGAAATGTGGAGAGGTGGATGAGATAAAAATCACGAGAGCCAATAGGGATTAAGGGTGATTTGGTCCACTGTCGAACAGCCACCAACCAATCTTTACCGACCAGCACCTCACACCCTTTCTTCAGTTCCGCTGATGCACACCTGTCATTGTCGTTTCTAGATCTTCAGTCTCAGCTAGATCTAAGCGGTACGTGCTTTACCGTCGCTTTCTGCTTTTCATTCCGCATGCCTTCTCGGAGCTAAGCGCAATCTAAGTCTTAACATTGTAGCTAGTGAGTGTCGCGGTTATTAGCCGTGGATTAATATTCGCGCTTCACGAGTAAGTACCGCCAGCTATACGATTTTTGCGTTCATCTTTTAAGTTGCGGCCCGAATGAAAACATTAATTTGCAGGCGGACTAATGACGTCGTTTGCGGACGCAATAGTAGCATCAAGATGCGAGCACATAGATCCGTATGCACTTACCATGCGGACGCGTTAATAGCTTCGGTCCGTAGGCGCGTGATAACCGTCGGTAGTGCAGCCTATTCCATGTCGTTAGGTAATAAAGCACATTGAAGCGTACCGTTACCGCGCAAGACGGTAATACAAGAGGCACATTGAAGGGGAAAGGTGAGCAGTAATCGAGTGTGCGGGGTGGGGGAGGAGAGGGGATGTGGCGGGGTGTGGTTGGGTGGGGATGGGTGGGGAGGGCATCTCTCATCTTCTCCCGCTCTCTCCTCGTTCCCCCCGCTCCGCCCCATCTCTTTCCGCCCTTGCTCATCTCCCCGCTCACCTCTCTGTTCTTTGCTCACTTCGCCCCGCTCCCTCCCTGTTCACCCCTCACTTCCCCTTCCTTCCCCTTTTTCTTTACCTCCCACCTCATTCCCCACTTCACTCATCCCTCGCTTTTCCCCCGCTCTTTCCGCATCTCCCGCAGCGCTTTCCGCATCTCCCCCAACGCTTTCCGCATCTCCCCCAGCCGCATCTCCCCCTCCCCCCCCCACCCTTTCCAGCCATTCAACCGTCGTCTCTCCCCCCATCCCCCCCGCCCGTTTTCAGCTCTTTCCTCCTCTCTCCCCTTCTCACCCCTCCTTTCCTTCCAACACTCACCCCTTCTTCCCCCCAACATTCACGCCTCACCCGATTATATTAACTTCTCCTTTCCCCGCTCTGCCCCCAACTCCCCTCCGCTCTCCCCGCATTCCCCCCTCCCGTTCACCCCTTATCCACCCGATATCTCGCTCTGCGGTGCAGCAGATGGCGGGAGGTGGTAACTGAACCGGGAGGGTGCATCTGATGGCGAGTCGCTGGCAGCTGGAAATTGTTTCTAAATTAGCTGAACCGTACCGAATAAGAGTATGACAATGAGGTGAGCAGTAAGGAAGTGTGCGGGAGGAGGGAGGAGAGGGGGAGTGGCGGGGTGTGGTGTGGTTGGGTGGGGAGGGTGTTTCTCCTCTTCTCCCGCTGTGTCCTCGTTCCCCCGCCTTCCCCCCCAATCTCTCTCTCTCTCCTCCTTCCTCATTCTCTTACCCCTCACCCCTCAGCTCCCTTCTGCTTTTCGCTCTATTCTCCCCGCTCTCCCCTCGTCTCTCCTCCCACCTCCCCTCCCCTCCCACTTCTCTTCCCTAACCTCTTTCATCTCATCTCTTTAAGCTCACGCCTCATCTCCCCTCTGCTCTTCGCTCAGTTATCCCCCCCTCTTCTCCCCACTTTCATCTCATCTCCTTACCGCTCACCCCTCAAGTCCCCTCTGCTCTTCGCTCTATTCGCCCCGCGTTCCCCTCTTCCCAACCCCGTTGTCAACTCATCTCCCCTCCGGTCTCCTCTCATCTCTCTCTCCCCCCCTCTTCCCCCCCTCCCCATTCACTCGCACCTCATCCTCCCCTTCCCCCCCCACCCACCCACCCCCCCCCCCTTCATCCATTCAACCGTGGTCTTTCTCCCCCCTTTTTTCCCCTCCTCTCAACCCCCCTTTCCTTCCAACACTCACCCCTCCTTCCCCCCAACACTCACGCCTCACCCAATCAACTTCTCTCCCCGCGCTGTCCTCGTTTCCCCCTTCCGTTCACCCCTTACCGTATTCCTTTCCCCCCCCCACCCACTTTGTTTGATCCTATCCCGCCCTTCACTTGAATCAGGTGCATCAGATGGTGGCTCGCTGGCAGCTGGAAAAAGGCTTTCAAAGGAGCTGAACTGCACCGATTCGCGCTCTGTATACCACGGCCATGAAGCTTCTTCCCTCGGGCAGCAGCGTTGTCAGGAGCAGCAGCATCAGGAACCTCGACCATTGCCAATCTTCAGGAGATTCAATCATCCAAAGCTTGTGTTCCAGGAAATTCAATGACTGTCTCAGAAGATTCAAGGACCTTGTATCTTTGCCTCAAATACAACTCCATCATACACTACAGGGTGACAGTACCAGAATGCTCTGCTCGCCAAAAAGTCTCTGGCTAATTTCTGGAAATTTCCCTTTTCACAACATGATTCGCTGGAACAGAATACTGCATTGTCTCAGCGGTAACAGTGTAATCACAAATACAGTACTACTGTGCCTGTAACATTGTAAACTGCAGCAGGTGCTGCCAAGTCAGCCACAGCAGCAGCAACAACAGGGAGCTACGGTACCGACTGGTGCTAACTACAATCCTCTTCCAATCGTCCACATCATCCTGTGCTCCATCTCCTTCCCCTGCTACTTTCCCACCCACCCGAGGCAGCAACTGCAGCAGATACTGCCACACAGCTGCAGCAGCAACCGCAGCTGCAGCAGGAGTAGCCACAGAGGGGGATGGTGCTGCAACAGTAGCAGCAGATACCGTTGTAGCAGCTGGTGCTGGTGCAGCCGCAGAAAAGGATGATGCTGCTGCATCGCCCCCCACGGCTCGTCCAACAATGCATACCCAGCCCCGCAACTAATCACAGCTGCACCGCCCCCTCCTCTCGTCAATCAATCATCTTCTTCCAATCATCTACCTCGTCATCTACCTTCTCTCCTGCCTCCGCCACTTCCCCAGCAGCAAAAACTGCTGCCGGAGAAGCAGAAGGAGCAGCTGCAGGGGGGAGGATACTGCAACAGTTGAAGCAGGTGCACCAGGTGCAGCATCAGCAGCAAACTTGTTTCCATCACCAGCAGCACCATCGTCATCATCCCCCCATGCCTCGTCCAACAATGCATAGCCAGCCCCTGCTTTAATCATAGCTGTGCCGCCCCCTCCTCTCCCCCAAGCCCCTCCAGCAATCCCACCCGCCCCAGGTCCACCTCCCCCTACTCCCACCCCTCCTATTCCCCAGCTCTGCCCAAACCTGCACCAGCAGGCCCGGCCGAACCTCTCCCGCCCCAAACCGCCGAACCAATTCCACCAGCACCCATACCTCCAGATCCACCTGCTCCAGGTAAACCCCACGACCCCTGTTGCTGCCGCCTTTGCTGAGCCTGCGCCTGCTGCTGCGCCTGCTGCGCCTGCTGCTGCTGCTGCTGCTGCTGCTGCTGCTGCTGCTGCTGCTGCTGCTGCTGCTGCTGCTGCTGCTGCTGCTGCTGCTGCTGCTGCTGCTGCTGCTGCTGCTGCTGCTGCTGCTGCTGCTGCTGCTGCTGCTGCTGCTGCTGCTGCTGCTGCTGCTGCTGCTGCTGCTGCTGCTGCTGCTGCTGCTGCTGCTGCTGCTGCTGCTGCTGCTGCTGCTGCTGCTGCTGCTGCTGCTGCTGCTGCTGCTGCTGCTGCTGCTGCTGCTGCTGCTGCTGCTGCTGCTGCTGCTGCTGCTGCTGCTGCTGCTGCTGCTGCTGCTGCTGCTGCTGCTGCTGCTGCAACTGATACACACTCCCGCGGGCAACAGCACCTCTGAAGGGCCTCGCATGATCCAGAAAGCGCACGTTGCTGCTCGCCCACCCAGAAGCAGCTGCTGCCGTCCTTTCAGGCGCCTCAAAAGTCACCAGCGACAGCCTCTCGCCTCTCTCTGCCCATCGGAGTGCAGATGTGCAGACGAACACTGTTCACTGCCCACCCAGAAGCGGCTGTTGCCGTGGCAGCTGCTGCTGCAGTTGCTCCTGTTCCTGCTCCTGCTTTCGCTGCTGTTGCTGGAGGGTGTTTGGCAGAAAACCCGAAGATCAGGTACTGAAAGCGGGATTCGACGTCGGCTGTCCCCACCCACCCATGTTAGCCAAACTTGTACAGATAAAGCGGAATGCCGTCTATTCTCCTCTCCTCCATTGGCCGAAACTTCTCACTGACAAACTTCCTAGTGTATTAAATCAGGGGCATGGTTAGAATGTTCATGGCTGCTCTATATCACATCGCATGATTTTATGACTCATCCCAACACAAGGCATGTTATGAGTTGACTAAACACAGTGCGCGGAATTACAGAATTATGATAGTTCACGTGGCAACGATTTCACGCGAGGCAGGGAAAGCATGGAAGAGCAAGCACGGGGAGAAAAAGCACTAACACGGTTCATGTCAAGGTGCCTGCACGGAGAAGAGAGGAGGGTAGGGGAGAGGTTTGGGAGAGAAGAGAAACAACTTGAGAGAGGATCACTTTGGCAGGCACTTCAACATGGGTGGAGGCGGGTTAGGAAAAAGAGAGAGGTGGCGGCACGGGGAGGGGAGGGGAAAAAGGGAAGGGGGTTGGAAGCGGGTTGGTCCCTCAGAGGTTGATTCAGCGCCAGCAGCGCGCTCGTTGGGGGGAGGAGAGAGAGGGGGAGGGGGAAAGGGAGGGGAGGAAGGCAGGAGGGGAAACGGAACATGGGAAACGGAACATGGGAAACGGAACATGGGAAACGGAACATGGGAAACGGAACATGGGAAACGGAACATGGGAAACGGAACATGGGAAACGGAACATGGGAAACGGAACATGGGAAACGGAACATGGGAAACGGAACATGGGAAACGGAACATGGGAAACGGAACATGGGAAACGGAACATGGGAAACGGAACATGGGAAACGGAACATGGGAAACGGAACATGGGAAACGGAACATGGGAAACGGAACATGGGAAACGGAACATGGGAAACGGAACGGTCCTCCTTCCCATGTCAAACCCGCGTTCCACTCCGCGCGCACCCCTTGTGCATCTCACGTGGCGGGCAGCATGGGTGGCGGCTCGCGCCTCGTCCGACGGCGGAGAGCAGCGCCGCGAGCATGGCAGCACCGTCGGTGCCTTGTGATTCGCCTCAATAGACGCGCCGCGAGCACCTCCGCCGCGAGCATGGCAGCACCATCGCCGCTTTTAGAGGCGCCTCAAAAGACGCGCGTGGAGGTGATGTGGGCAGGGAAGGCGTGCGATAGCAACGGCATCAACAACGCTGCAGAGCAAACCGCCTGCAGGGAAGGCGTGCGGTGATGGCAGCACTGCTTGCACCTGCAGTTGGGGAAGGGGAAAATGGGGTGGGCGGGGGGGACGCATGGAAGGGGAGAGGGAGAAGAGGCAGAGGGGGAAGGGAGGGGGATAGGGCCCTCGGGTTATCAAGGGTACAATGGAGTGCGATGGCATTACTAAGTCATAAGTTGATGCTACTGATGACATTCATTCAAGTCATTCGTTGTGCGTTTTGAGGTGCCTCTAAAGTGCTCCCCTCCCCACTTCGCCCTCCCCTTCCCACCTCCCCTTTTTCCTGCTGCTCACCCACCTCCCCACCATCCACCATACCCAATGCGCCCTCCCTCGCCCGCCTTCCCCCCTCCCCACCCTCCCCGCCCCCCCCCCCCCCCGTAGTGCATCTCACCTTACGACCGCACCTCGTCCGTCGCGGCGGAGGGCACCTCCGTGCGCACCTCCGTGGGCGCCTCCGCGGGCACCTTCGCGCATGCCCCCTTCTCCTTCCCGCTTCCGGATGAATCAGGCAGCACGCGAGAATGCTGCCTGCGCCTCGTCCGTCGCGGTGGAGGGCAGCGCCGTCACCACCGTCGCCGCCGGTTGAGGCGCCTCGAAAGACGCGAGCAACTCTGCCAGCACGGACGAGGCGCGCGCGGAAGTACCTTTTCCGTGATTCACGCGGAAGGAGATCGCGAGAGAAGGGGGCGGGGAAAAGCGGTGCAAAAAGATGTTCGCATCGCGGATCGCGGCGTTACTAACTAGATCGCGGATCGTGCTCTTGCCCGTGCAGTCACCCTCTCGCTCCGGCTACTGAAGACGCAGCGTCGCGTCCTACTACTTGGCGCCTGCCTGCTCGTGAAGTTCACTCTACGTCTAGATCCACCTATGGGTAACAAAAATCAGTAGGCTAAAACACTTGAGGTGAAACACGAGAGGCTCGATTGTGGTTGCGGGAGGTTGACAGATACACCCTTCCATTCCTATTGGCGTGAAAGTCAAACATCAATTGTTTTTTTCCAGATGCCCCTCTCAGGTTTGGAAAACTCTATCAGCTAAACTTTTTCTGCCAACTACAAATTCTGACCCATACCAAAGATGTTCCGCACCTTACGCAGAAGTTTCAACAACTGGCGTAAAAAGTTGAGGCAACAAAATAGTGCAACGTCGACCACCTCCTAGAACTAGAATGTTCAACCCTGCCCTTCCTCCGTTCTTCGTTTTGCTGGTACACTGTATCCAGCACACGCACATCCAACAATTTCCCCGACAGCAATACGCGTCCTTAGCAGTCTCGTTTTCATACTACAATGCAGCAGAATGCAAATTGTAACCAGTAGGTGAAAATGAATGTGTTGGATGTGTTACTGTACACACGATCACATTCTTGAGTCGCCGCACCGCTCAAGCCACATTTCATTGACCAGTAAGAAGTCAGGAGACCTCCATACTCATGCCTCAGCTCGAAAACTGGAAGGAGCACAATGCCTCATTGTACCATTTCGAATTCTGACAGTTCTCGCGCAAACGGGGGGGCTCTGGGAGCCTGATCAGGTAAAATACCGTGCTCCGCGCGCAAACGGGGGAGCCTGATCATTTGCTCGCGAAGTTTTAGCTCAAATCTAACGAATCGTAAGTTCCAGTAACAACGTCGCTACAAAGTCGCCAACGCTTTTGCGAAACTGACAAGCTCCGCTCACAGTATGGCAGCTCCACTCGGTTTCCAATGATCTTCCGTGAATTTCTGGTTCCACCACTGAACCACACTTGTTTCAGTGATCAACGTCATTCTTCCTGATTAGTTTTCCTGATTAGACACCATTCTCAAATATTCTTCATTCATTCATTGATTCATGGTTATTTCCACCACTTCACCGTCTTGTCCGCTAATAACCACGCCTAAAGGCGTGATTCACTAACATTCTCATATCCTGCCTTCTTTCGCCTGGCATTCCGAACTGATCAGGTAAAATACCGTGCTCCGTCGCTGAAAGTTTTCCTAACAGAATCTTAAATTCGGTCTGACGATAGTGT